TTTGTGAAACAAACATCATCCACCATTGTTTCATAACAATAACAGAGTAATAATCATCCTGAAATAACAATAGTAGTGGTAGTACTCTTGAATTGCAATTTTGATATATTTGATCAAGTTGCCTTTGCAGGACTTGACCAGCGCACCAAAATATCTTGTAACCTTCACTGTTGGCTATGATCAGAGAATGAATATTGATGCATGTGTTAAAAAGGTTGGTCCTGTGTGGTGTTTCATTTATGAGCTCATGGTAGCCTGTATGAGTATGTGAACAACTTTGTCTCTTATCTATCTCACAGTTTTCAGAGAACTTTACTATCCTTCTATTCCATTATGATGGACGAATTGCTGAATGGGATGAATTTGAGTGGTCCAAGCGTGCTATTCACGTGAGTGTCCGGAGACAAACTAAATGGTGAGTTCTATTTTAAAACAGAAGCTCACTGATTAAAGTTCCCCTTCACCATCCTGTGGGGGGGATACAGTTCAACTCATCACTTCAGTCTTTATTTGACCCACCCTTGTAACTTTAAACTCTGAAATTTTGTCTTAGGTGGTATGCTAAGAGGTTTTTACATCCTGATATTGTGGCACCATATGACTACATATTTAACTGGGACGAAGACCTGGGAGTTGAGCATTTCAATGCAGAAGAGTAGGTGTTGGATATAAAATAGTTATTTTATGGTTATGCTAGTTCACAATACTAAAAACTTTGCCACGTTTCTTGTGCACACTTTTATCTAAGATATATAAAACTAGTGAAGAAGCATGGATTGGAGATTTCACAGCCTGGTTTGGAACCTAGCAAAGGATTAACATGGCAGATGACAAAGAGAAGAGATGACCGTGAAGTTCACAAGTAAGAATGACGGAATAGTCCCCATAAAAGTTTTCTTTGGGAAAAAAAGAAAAAAGAATTATGGAATGCCCATGTAATTTTTTAAGGATTGATTTTATTTGATTCAAATATTATCTTAGAAAACAGTTATGGAATTGTGATTGATTTATTAACTAACCCTTTTATCTCTTTCCATGAATTTATATTAGAATAACAGATGAGAAACCAGGCTGGTGCAAAGACCCACATCTGCCACCATGTGCAGCGTATGAACATCTTTAACTGTTGCTTTTTTATTGTTATTTTATGCCTTGCTTCTCTTGTTCCTTGTATGACTGTGCTGTAAAAGCTTAAAGAGATCATCCTCTTCCGGATTTAGGTTTGTTGAAATCATGGCTCCAGTGTTTTCACGAGATGCTTGGCGCTGTGTGTGGTATATGATTCAGGTATTGATTGTTGTGCTACTGTTGCTCACTTTATCACTTTTAAGAATCCGTTTTCTTCGCCCTTTCTCTGATAGCATATGGCACTAGAGTTTGACTGCATTATGGAATTTGCAGAATGACTTGGTCCATGGTTGGGGTCTTGATTTTGCTCTTAGAAAATGTGTAGAGGTAGCTGACCTACTTCCATCCTGGTTGATCTATTTCTGCTTTGTTTTGAATTGTTATTGGCAACATCAACATGAAACTCCTTAATTAAAATTTCTCCTTCAAAAACAGCCTGCCCATGAAAAGATTGGAGTTGTAGATTCCCAGTGGATTGTTCATCAAAGTGTTCCCTCTCTTGGGAACCAGGTAAATGAATATGATTGGCCTCAGCTCATTTCCTCTGTTTTAACCCCACTATAAATCCCCAATACATGCTGGAATGAAATACTTACCCCACTATTTTGCTTCTCTAGGGCGAGTCACAAAATGGAAAGGCACCATGGCAAGGGGTATGAAAAGTGTTTCTTCATTATCAGTATAATTCATCTCGTTTCATTTTGTTTGCATGTTATCATACAGCATCCCTTGCCATTATTAACCATCCAAACGCTCAATATTCTGTTGTCGAGTTATCATGCAAATGGACGAAGAGCACTTTTTTCACCTTTCTGTCTTCCAAATTTGCTCTACAAAACCAGAGCAAACTGCTCTTTTGATCATACATGCTAACCTTTTCTGCTGGTCCCAGGTCAGGGAGAGGTGCAGGAAGGAGTGGACAATGTTTCAGACCCGGCTGACCAGTGCTGAAAATGCATATTTTGGGGCAGCAGGGCTTGATCCTTCCAATTCTAATGGTCACTAAAGGAGGGCAACTATAGAAGCTTAGTGTACACTACCATAACGACTACACAGATTAGGTTTGATACAAATCTGTAGAATTCATCATTGTATGACTGCTTTTTTTATTAGTGAATCGCAATTTTTCACTTGTTAATTTAAAAACATCATGAACACTGGTAGAGCTGTGCAGTAGAAAGAAGTTAGTTTCATGTTTCTTAAATTTTCTGCATCATGGTCAAGGTATAGGAGCTCTGTTTTGAATTAACAAGGGCTTCGGTCCTGCTCCATCATAAATTTTCCAACTCTTCAAGGGCTATAGGCAATATCAAAAAAATGGGCACCCTGTAACGAAACCTCGCTTTCATGTTTTCGGCGATGCTGAACGCTGTAGAAAATAAGCTGTCTGTATGAGGGCAATTTATGTGCACATCCAGCTGCTTATAATCGTTTTACTTCACTTGCAGCAGTAATGTTGTTAAAAAAGGTTTTCGATCAGCTAAAAGTCGGGTTTATATATATATATATATATATATTAACATAGTAAATTAAAATCTTTGGCTGAATAATGTCATTTGAAATTTTTTACACGAAATAATATATTTACACTTTGTTTTGCTTTTAAGCTGGACAAGATAAATTAAAATTTTTAGCTGAATAATATTATTTAATTTTTTTTTAATGAAATATCACATTTATATTTTGTTTTGCTTCTAAGACCAATAAGATAATTGTGCCTTTGAATAACAATATTTAAATATCTCGTGTTTCATAAACTTGACAATTTAAGATGTAATATTATTATTAATTTTCTAGTTTAATTGGTCGATCAGTTGATTACTGCATATATAAATTATAATTTTATGAATTTTTTCTTTTAATTATATTTTATTAGTATCATTGATGTAGCTGGCCTACGATAATAAATAATTCTAAGTAATTAGATATAAATTTACTATAATTAGATAATAATATACCTCGAATAAATTACATGAATGATTTAAAATATATATTTATAAACTAGCGGGATAGAATTAGGCTCAAGAGAAGATCTAGTCTAACTAAACTAAAATTATAACTTAAAAGAATTATAATTTTTTATTATATTTTAATTTTTATAAGAGTTTTTAAATGCTATTTTTTTTTTATAGTAGCATGGAATAACAACTTTGATTATTTTGATTGTTGGATGTTTAGATTTAAAAAATATCACTTTAAAGTTTTGTTTTTTAATAGTTTTTATAATTCTTTTATTATTTTGAAACTAACCGATCAATTTAAATAATTATTATAGAGTAGTTGATCGATTAATATTGAATTTAATTAATATCATAATTATAAATAATAATATTATTTAAAATTTTATTATAATTTTAAAATATGATATTTAATTAAATGTCACTATTAGAGTGTTACATCTGAAAAATATACGATATAACACCGAATTGTTTTTTCGCTTCTTAGTCAATTCATCATTTTTAAAAAAAATTTGTATGATATATCCCTTAAAGTTACCTCCACGTCCAAAGAGATAACCAGACAACATCCAGTCAGTAAAAAATATACGGTATAACACCGAATTATTTTTTTGCTTCTTAGTCGATTCATCATTGTTTAAAAAAATTTGTATGATATATCCCTCAAAGTTACCTCCAACCTCAAAAGAGATAACCAGACAACATCCAGTCAGTCTCAATCGTATGTACCGACACGCATCAACGTGGGCCCCAGTTCAAGTACCCGGACCTAGGAGGAGGAAGACGTCACTCCGAGAAGCACTCAGAGGTCTCTAAACTTGCCACCAGGCAAGACCTTCTTGGCCCTCCACAAAGCTTAAAGACACGTGTCACTCATCAAGACGGACCCATTTGCTCCCTGTGAAAAAATACCCCCTCCCCCATTTTCGATCTCTGCATGCCTCATATTGGTTTAATTTACTTAAATGGTCCCTCGAGTTTTGAATTTCGGTCAAATTATCCTTAGGCATTAAAGAATTTATTGGTGTAGTGAAATTATTTTTTCTATGGTCCTGAAATAATGAATTTAGGATTAATACTTGACTGCTATTTGTTAAGTAAATTTGTTTTAACAGGTTAGTGCTATTGGTTTAAATCAAGCTAAAAAATAATTTAAATATGGGATGACTCGTTTAATTATAAATAAGTAAAATAATTTTTTTTTGGATTTTTAAACAGAGATTATAGAATTACTCTGAATTAAGATATATAAGAAACAAATGATGGCATTTAAATATAACATTATAGAATAATAAATATAGAACTCATGTTAAAGTCAAAGAGTTAAAGGAGATATTAATGTTTAAATCAAGTAAAATATAAAAGATGACCTAAGATCTTGTGCTGATATGTAAACTCCATAAAATACAAGTACTGATAAGAGATTTCAACCTTTCTCTATCATCGTAGAAGTTGGTCACAGCAGATGGATAATTCACAGACGCCACAATTTAAAATCTCCATATATATACCAATAAAAAAAAAGCTATGAAATTGAGTGGAGATCCCACTGTCATGAAGTCCAATATGACAGACAGATGATGTTTGTCACATCAAACTGTCTTTTATTGCTGTTGTCATTTACGTTTGTGTCGTCTCTGTATTTGCTGGCTTCATGTTCAACAAGGATAAATGAATTATTAGATTTTTATTTTACTTAATTATTTACTCCAAACTCTGTTACAAGCACTGAAAATGGATGGCCGGTTTCCCAACCGTTCGAATAGAGGTGCTAGTATGAAAAGACACTGAAACTGGAGGGACTGCATGTATAAAATTACCCTCTATACAATCAATCATCAATCAGTATCTCATAGAAACCCTACACGTGTCGCCACGTGTAGCACATCATGGCTATAACCAGGGCTAACATGTACTGGTGGTCTAAGATGAGCCTGTGTAATATATCTCCAGGATCAGCCCAGTTTAAGGACGTCAAGTTCTTATCTATGCTTGGTCTGTGGAGGTGAATTGCTTGGTCTCAATATCCTCTTGCTCAACTGAACGCCATAATTTACAGAAGTGCTTCTGTTTTGCTTTTGTGGGTTATGGGGCTCTCAAGTTTCCCTGGTGCAGCAGGAGTGCTGCCAGAGTTACTCATGAACGCAATCTTATTAGTGGCTCTACTGAAAAACACGGTGACGTCAGGGCTGCGAGTTATGGTCGGTGCTAACTGGACACCTCCAGATTACGAGGGAGAGCCAGATGGAAATCCACAAGAAAATGCAAGAGAGAGAAGAATGTCAATAACCCAGTTCAAGAGCTTGCAGCAGAATGATGGCACATGCTATGGGGTTAGTACTGCAATGGAATGTTGTGTGTGTCTATGTGGATTTCAAGCTGAAGAAGAGGTGAGTGAGCTGCATTGCAAGCATTTCTTCCACAGAGCTTGTTTAGACAAGTGGTTTGATAACAAACAGGCTACTTGCCCTCTTTGTCGATCTATCATTTTATTTGATTCATAAATGTTTTTCTTACGTGGGTGTTAGAATTTCTGAGGAATATATATTGTGTTATCACTTTGAGCAAAATTAGACAAGGGTTGCTATGATCTTGCTTTATGCACAACGCTAGAATGTTGTTAGAACTTATAAGAGCGAAAAAATAAAAATAAAAATTAATCTACTGGGTTCGAAGCATTTCGTACATATCTTATACACTTACTCGCCAAAATGCCTAAAGATAAAAAACCTAGGATTAACTTTGGATCGAGTTTTAATATAAATATATTGAATATGATTAGGTTAAATTTGGATAATATTTCCATTTAAATTTAATGTAAATGGATCAAAATCAGAAAAAAAAATAAAAATAAAAAATAAAATATTATCATTTTAAATTAAAACTAATTGAATGTGTAACTCGTAAATTAAACTGATAATTTAATAACTTGAATCCTTTTCGAATAAAATTCCCTCTCTCTCTCTCACATACACATAAAATCTGAAAAGCTGCCGAACTATTGGCAATCTATCAGAATGTATCGAATGATCAGGCATCGATGAAAAAAACCCACCTACAAGCATATCGAATTAGCCTCGTCAAATACATTTTTCTTTGTTACACAAATTTTCTGCCTTCGTAACTTGGGTTAAATCACTAAAATCACATTGACTAAAATCACACGAGTTACAGTGCAAAATACCCATGGATATTGCTCATTGAAACATACATACTCCTACATCAAATCGTGATATTTTTTTTATTAAACACTACCCTAGTAATTCTATGTAAAAAGAAGTGAAGAGTGGAGGTCAAAAACAAAACTCAACCAGGCATGAGGATCGGCGCAAGTGACTAAAACACAAACACCAATATTTAAGAAATATATCATCAAAGATTAATAATACATGGAAGGCAACGTTTATTTAAGAAATATATCATCAAAGATTAATAATACATGTTATATATATGGGATATCATTTCGATTGAAATATTCCTGCCACCGCATGGATTCGCAACAGGAAAGATTATTGTACTATATATGTAAGGACCAGAAGAGTATGATGGGGAAATTAATGTGGTCCTGTAGAAGCCCTTTTGCCAATCACCCGGATTTCGTAGACATCGACTTGCTTGATTCAAACTTCTCATGCTTTAGCTTGATAAACTCATCGGCTACTTCATCAGCTATCGTAGACATCGACCTGCTTGATTCAAACTTCTCATGCTTTAGCTTGATAAACTCATCGGCTTCTTCATCAGCTTTCGTAGACATCGAATTGCTTAATTCAAAGTTCTTATGCGTTAGCTTGATAAACTCATCCGCTACTTCATCAACACTCTCATCACAAACCACGTAACGACCAACCTTAACACATACCTGGGCGCCTCTCTCATGCTCGACAGCTTGGCCGTGCCTATTGTAGTTGAATATTGCTGGATCGTGGTACCGATCATTCTTGGTCTCCCGATTGGTTCTATGGTGTTTGGCACCATGTTGGTTGGTGTGTTTGGGACAGTTTGTGAGTGACATCTTGAAGGTACGTATCTTTAATCGACTTGTACATCACTGGTATCATCTTTTCCCACATTTATAGCCCATTTTGATTCTTAAATGACAAGATTTGAATCCGATGCGCTCAGCGTTGAAGTTGACATATATAGAGCGTTTAGAATAGTCATAATCATTTAGCTTGTGCTAAAGAAACCAGAAATAAAGTTGCAAATACGATGCGCTCATGATGTACGTCTATTCTTTAGCTCAAGTTAAATCATAGCTTGGGAAGATTCTGCGCAAGGGATCGAATAAAACCGCAGCTCGTTTTAGAGGTAGCTTTCACCCCAATACTGGCTCATGATGTACGTATATTCTTTAGCTCAAGTTAAATCATAGCTTGGCCAAGCTATGATTTAACTAATCAGTTGAATCATAGCTTGGCCAAGCAGCTTTATTCGATTCCTTGCGCAGAATCTTCAGCTGGTCAAATTACTTGAAGTATATCAATTAATGGCCAGCCATTTCAATCAATTAAAGGAGGTGGGCAATTCTGGTAAAGCTTTTCACCGAACTCAGTGTCAATGGTCGTGGTGGGCAATTCTGGTAAAGCTTTTCGCCGAACTCATTGTCAATGGTCGATCTTAACTTGGATGAATTGGCTTGTCTGGTATGACAAGCAAGCTAGGTTAATTAAGCTTTTGGGACAAGTCGCAATACGTACTTTAAGACAGCATACTGAGTACATGCCACGAAAATGATATTGAAGGCAAGTTGCCAGTGGCAATCTTAAAATGGAATATCCAACCACCTTTGGTATCGAATAATTTCATTTCAGGAATGCAAAAAAAATCCGAAGCTTTGTGACGAGGTTGTAGAAAATCTTCAAAGAAAAGTCTGGATATTGAGGCTGGGTTTGACAGGAAGTCATGGAAGGGTAGTGTTTTAGAGCAGGAGAAATCTACAAAAACAAGGCTCTTGAAAGATTATGCGATGCTTGAATTAAGGTGATATTTTCAACGTTATATAATTATTTTTATAATATTGCCTAGGTTGATATTGGTTGTTTTTGTATAATAAAACTATTGATTTAACTCTAAAATAAAATAATATAATACTTATTGCTTGGGGGATTTTTTTTCTTTTTAATTTTTTGAAATAGTATAATTATTATCTTTAAAAACAAAACCAATATAATTCTCATACAAGGTTTTTTTTTAATCATTTTACTTTAATAGTAAATTCTAAGGCTACTCAAATGTATTATTGTTTATTTTAAATTTATATTTTTTTAATTTCATTCCTTTTACTTTTTTTAAATTTAATTTCTATTCTTTTTATTATTATTTATTTTGTTTGAGATCATTTTGTAGGTTATTTTTCTCATAATTTTATACTCCACAAGGTTGTTTTCTATCAAATTTGATTATTTTTTTTTATTGCTATCTTTTTTTATCTCCTTTGACAATTTTTTTAAATTGATACTTTTTTTTGCAACTTCTTCTTTCAAAATTAAATTTGTTGAGAATGAATTTTTTTAATTGAACTCGGTTCAAGGTTTTCACAGG